AACTAAAAAGTATTATAACTCTTCTTATAACAAAATTTTTAATATTACCCTTTCATTCTTTTTTCCATTTGATAATTTTGATTTTAGTTTATTTCTTGAAATGACAATTTAATTAAACTTCTCTTTTCTTGCATGTTTTCATTGCAGTCTAAAAAAACTGTTTTTTCCTCTGTTATCATAATTTTAAATAATAATAAATAATCCGAAATCATTAGTTTTGTCGATAACAGATGGCAGTAAATGCAACTCAATTTTACTATAGTTGTATTTTTCGTCAAGAGATGTCGATAAATGCTGAAACTATTTCATAAAATGTTTTCTGTATAATAGATGGCAGTAAAAACAAAACAAAAATATTTTTATTGCAATTGTTTGGAAGCAAAATAATCGGCTCTAAGACAATTCTTTTTAACGATATTTTGCATTTATTTGAATTCTTTTCATAAATACTAATATTTATATTTAATTTTAATTTGCAAATATTTCATATTTTTCTACTAATATATATATATATATATTTAAAGAAAATTGTAATTATTTATTTTATTACGCTAATAATGAAACATCGCTTCGAGTAGCAATTGAAATTGTAATACCTTCCATAGAATTGTATTTACTGAAAATTCTGGGATATTTATCGAAAATACTTTTCATAAACACTAGTTAAAATCACATTGTTCTTGGTATTAACCAGCGACTTTGATTCATAATTAACTGATATAAAGAATTATGGCAATTAACTTTTGTGCCGTTTATTATCACAGTTTGGAAATACGAAAAGTACAACAAAAAACAGTTACGTTTATAAACAATAAATGGCAAAACGTTCAAAAATATCTTTATAAATTTCCGATTATTTGTTTTAGATTTAAGAACTTTGAGTGTAGTTTATTTCTTTTGATAATTGTTTAATTATAACTTGTCTTTTCTTGCATATGTTAAAGTAAATATAAAATGAAACTAAATTACCATTTATTAGAATTGAAATAATAATAAACAACCAATTACAAGAAATACTTTTATCGGTGAACGATAGCAGTAACAACGAACATTTAACACGCGTGAACAGTAATTGATAAATACTAATATTCAAACTTACTTTGAAATTATTACCATGGAATTATTTTGTTTATTTCAAATACTTTTGATAAATACTAACATTCAGACTAATTTTAATTATCCATAATATATCAACAAATCGGACTTGTTTATTTCGCTAATATTGTAATGTATACTTAGCTCGCAACGCCATCTATTTCAGTTGAAATTAAATTTAAAATTGTATTACATTACAAGGAATTAGTAGACTTTACAGTAACGATAATTAATACGATTTTAAAATGTGTATTTTTCTTGTACGGTTTATTAACTTTTATTAAAAACGTATTTCTTTGCGAAATTCCATCTCCAATCACGTGTTCGTTGTGAAGCCTAAAGCTTGGTCTGTGCTTTAACCACCGCAGGTTTCGAGCACCCAATTTAAAGCGTCACAAATCTTCACACTTACCGATGAGCTGTACAGTTGGAATTTAACAATGGTAATAAATTCATCATTTGATTATATTTCTTACAGATTACTTATATATATTTGGTAACTATCTAACGACAGTAACGTTAAATAAACATTAGGACGTGATCCTATCGGTATATATATATATAAAAGTATTCTAATAATAACATTCAGGCCTATTGTATGTAGTTAAACAATAGCAGCCGATTAAAATTCACTTGTGAGGACATTATTCTCATGACTTCATTATGTTTTTATTCTACTCTCAAAAACAAATTACCTTTTATTTATTGTTAAGTTTAGTACACAGTAATATATCACTGTCCAGAATCATCAATTGTAGAGGGCGTTTATCTTGGTTATTGGACTAGTGTGGTAAAGATCAAATTAGAACACGTAAAAACTTGGTTAGTTATGATGGGATTAATATTAGGCTGGAAATAATATTGTTTTATGTGTAGATAAATTATTTTGTAGGTTATTTTAAAGTTATTTTGTTTTATGTTGAAAAATAAGTGATATTGTACTAATAGTAAAAGTATTTACTAAGTTAGTACTATTATTATTAGTACTACTAGGGTTAATGTTAAGACTGATAATAATAATAAGAGGCCTAACTCAACTAATGTCAGTGATACTGATAGTGTTTCATTAATTTAGGTTTGACAACTGTTATTTATTACAGTACAGAATTATCAACAGAAAACATTCTAGGCAAACAAAACATTTTATTTTTCAAAAAACAGAGCAATCCTGTAGACATTTCTCCAGAGCTACAGCTGCACTGTGCATTTTATTACACAAAATATCTTGTCATTGTTAACACTTCAATCTGTTACCTAATCCCAAACCTCCACGTCACTGTGGCCGATTTTATCTAGAATCAAACTAAGCCCATGGTTAGACACTGTATCAGTAACATTAAGACATAAGATCCTCAGTGGTCACTCACATGATCCTTTTCAACCATTATAATACAGTGATGTATAAAAAAATTACACAAAATAAAACACAGACAGACATGGATCATAAAATATATATAGACAAAAAGCCAGTAAAGCGAGAAGGGTCTTTAGTAGCCAGTAAGCTCTGCAAAAGTCTGGTCCAATTCAGTCGAGATGGTCTTGTATCTTTCCCTTTCGTGGACCAACTCATCTGCAATAAAGAGGAATATGAAATATTTATACAGTCCACACCATACATGATACAAGTCCAGAACAGTCCACACCTTACAGGATACAAGCCCAGAAATAACAAAAATATCTTTATACAGTCCACACCGTATAGGATACAAGCCCATAAATAACAAAAATTATCTTTATACAGTCAACACTGTACAGGATACAAGTCCAGAACAGTCCACACCTTACAGGATACTTGCCCAGAAATAAAAATTATCTTTATACAGTCCACACCTTACAGGATACAAGCCCAGAAATAAAAATTATCTTTATACAGTCCACACCTTACAGGATACAAGCCCAGAAATAATAAAAATTATCTTTATACAGTCCACATCTTACAGGATACAAGCCCAGAAATAATAAAAATTAGATAGCATTCAAAGAAAAAACAGTTTATTTAAATATCTTACATTACTCAAACAATGAAACTAAATATTTAAAAAGTTGTAATAATTTACAATTATACTTCTTTATATATATATATTATTGACTTTTTTATGAACACTTCATACATTACAAGTACAGGTGACAAAATGTAATCTCAATACCACCTTGATTGTGTTGAAACATCTGAAGTAGAAAAGTTAACCAGAACAAAGTCTACAAAGAAAGATAAGTAACTTGGAAAGGACCGAAAATTAAAAGTATATCTCTGTAAAAACCCTAAAAGAAGAGGTACATTTTCTGTAAAAAACCCTAAAAGAAGAGGTACATTTTCTGTAAAAACCTAAAAGAAGAGGTACATTTTCTGTAAAAACCCTAAAAGAAGAGGTACATTTTCTGTAAAAACCTAAAAGAAGAGGTACATTTTCTGTAAAAACCTAAAAGAAGAGGTACATTTTCTGTAAAAACCCTAAAAGAAGAGGTACATTTTCTGTAAAAACCCTAAAAGAAGAGGTACATTTTCTGTAAAAAACCTAAAAGAAGAGATACATTCTTGGAAGAAATTTAAAGATCATTGCCTCAAAACAAAAAGTGAAAAGATAGCAACATTCTATTAAGAGTGCACGCCCATCATGCTGTAAAACTTTTACTGTGGTATAGAATCTCAACTAACTTATTGCAATGTAAAAGGAACAACAAAAAATGGTATTCCCACTTTCATTCCACAATATCGTAATACTTGATATATTTTTTATCTACAAATAATCATCTGAGGTTAACTTAATATAATTAATAAATATATATATAGTTTGAGTAATTTATCAAGCCTGTTATTACGAGGTTGTGTAAGGCATGACCAACAAAGACCAAGCTGAAACAAAGAACATGTACATGCAATTGTTGCAACATCAACAATATCCAACTGAACCGAACATGATAATTAAAAAACAAAACTTGGGGATAGGAATCATGCAGGCCAACCTTTCACCATGCTGCAAGCACTACAATCACATGGAGGCAATGTCTTTCAGAGTAGTTTCCATTTCTTCCTGGAGAAGGTGGCTCTTTTCGCGTTCCTCCATCAAATCGTCTGGAATAAAAGATTACACCCAGTTCTAAAGAATTCATTAATTGTTATTTTGGATCTCCAGGAATCATAGAAATATTTGGTATATAAAATCAATAGGAAAAATTGGGTTTGATGCCCAACTTTTATACTTTTGTCTGAATTTGACGTGATCTAACATGATAAAATTCCATCAAGGTTCAGAGGTTTCATCTAATTAATGATCACACTTGTATTAACAATATGCAGAAATATATAAATATTGTAGCAACTGTGAGAAACAAACTAACATTTGGAAAACAGATTTGTTGATTCTTCTTTGCTACTGGTTGATGTTCCTCACCTTCTAGCAATAAAATTTTACGAAAAAACAAAAATAACACTAGCCTAACTAATAATGTTACAGACAAGAATAACACTAGCCTAACTAATAATGTTACAAACAAAAAAATAACACTAGCCTAACTAATAATGTTACAAACAAAAAAATAACACTAGCCTAACTAATCATGTTACAGACAAAAAATAACACTAGCCTAACTAATCATGTTACAGACAAAAAATAACACTAGCCTAACTAATCATGTTACAGACAAAAAAATAACACTAGCCTAACAATGTTACAGACAAAAGTAGATTATAAAAATATTATTACAATCACTCAATAATCTACTGATTATAACAATATTATTACAATCACTCAATAATCTACTGATTATAACAATATTATTACAATCACTCAATAATCTACTGATTATAACAATATTATTACAATCACTCAATAACCTACTGATTATAACTATATTATTACAATCACTCAATAACCTACTGATTATAACAATATTATTACAATTACTCAATAACCTACTGATTATAAAAATATTACAATCACTCAATAACCTACTGATTATAACAATATTATTACAATCACTCAAT